TGGCTCTCACGTATGCTGTTACGCCTGTCATCTTAAATTAACAATGTTTATACATACACGATTTTCAGTTGCCTCTGATACGTAGGTATACGTGAGTAAATTGTTTCGTTATTTTATTGATTATTACAAATCAATATTCAAACGACCCAATTCATTTTCCCGAAAATTTGAGAATATAATAATTTTATTCTTAGTATTACACTACATCTATCCCAACTGATATACGTGTCCTTGCAAAAATGTTGATGACGTCATCGCAATTTTTTTTTAAATTCCCACTACAAAAATGTAATGAGAAAAAAAACACAATAGGCATGCAGTCGTCAAGTTTCCGACAGCGAGGGAAGTACTGTCTAAACTCTTTAGACCAATTTTTTAATACATATTTCCATTTCTCGACTTCCCAAACTTTCGATCTTTCAGTTCTTCAGTTCTTAAATTTTTCGATTTCTCATGTTTTGGATTTTTCAATTTTTCAATTTTTCGATTTTTTAAGTTTCCGATTTTTCGACCTTGCGTTTTTGACTTTTCGATTTCTCAATTTTTCAATTTTCTAATTTCCAATTGTTTGGATATTTCGTTCAATTTTGTAATTTTTAGTTGTTGCATTCTACAATTTTTCTTCTATTTTTCAATTTTTCGATATTTGACTTTCAGGATTTTTTAGTATTTCGACTTTTCGATTTTTCGAGTTGTGAGTTTTTCGATTTCTCGACTTTTTACTTTTGGATTTTAATTTTTCGTTATTTAAACTTTAGATTTTCCATTTTTTCAACTTTTCGATATGTTAACTTTTCAATTTTTAAAATTTTAGATTTTTCGATTACTCCAGCTTTAAATTTTAGATTTTCCAATTTTAATTTTTTTGATTGTTTCATATTTGGATTTCTCGATTTTACAATTTTTCGATATTTTAATTTTTCAATCTTTTAAATTTTATATTTTTAGATTTCTCGATTTTTCAGTTCTTCAATATTTCCATTTTTCAATTTTTCGATTTTTTAATTTTGCCATCTTAGTTTTTCGGTTTTTGAAGTTTTTCAACTTTTCGATTTTTAGATTTCCCGATTTTTTAAATTTTCGATTTCTGAATTTTTTCAACATTATTTGTTTCGGAAACTTTTCAGTTTCTGGTTTTTTTAATTTTTCGATTTTTAAAATTTTTGTTTCTTCGATAATTAAATTTTTCAACTTTTCGGTATGTAAAAAATTAATATAAAATAGAACACAGTGCTTCTAAAACATAAAAATAACTGCACTCAAAAAAAAATCTATTGCATGATTACAGTTCCACTAATGTTGCTAATTTAGGACGTTTTGTTTTTATCAAACACAATTAAAGGATTAATTTTTAGTTAAACAAAAAAAAAAAACAGTTGCATGTCAAAATCGAGTGAAACATGCAAGATGTGATATTATGTTGCTAAATAAAAGCATCTAAATAATATTTCCCGTAGAAATTTTGAACGCTTAGAGTCGACATTGGCCTGAGCGGGCCCCGGTCTGTGGATCAACCAAGTTCTGTCGAAGTAACTCATTTGCTATATTATTATTATTATTATTTTTTTTTTTTTTTTATAAATGTAAAACTGTGTTCAGAGAATTTTGTCAAGTGTTCAAATGGTTATATTCTAATTGATTCGATATCTTGAACCGCTGAAAATTTTACATATAAAAGTGTAATTAAAAACAGCTGTCATATAGTAAGTTTAAGTAATAAGCTGTCAGTAGTTTCGAAAATCGCTTGACTTATTGCAGTGTTTTCCAAATTTCATCACTCATTCCTTATTAAATCGACTTCCGATTTTGCAGGCACTCTGTAAAACTCAAATTAAGACAAATTCCATTTGCAAAACTTCTTGAAATCCGAAATAAGCACAACTGCACTTGCTTGGTAGTTGTGTTATAGTTTCGCTTTACTCATCGTAAACTTCAAAATACAGATAATTGAGAATCTCTTGAGAACAGTCAGTTCGTCTGGTAATACATTTTTATTAGTAGTAATAAAAGTTCCAAGTAGAACACTGCTCAGAGATTGATCCCTTGAGAGAGTTATAATTATTAAAGATCTGATTTTTTTGTACTTATGTCATTTTCATCAAACATTTAATTAACTTTTGGGCTGAACTATAATAAAATTAATATATATAGAAAATTAAAATGAAATACATAATGCAAATAGACTATCTCATATTTTATTTATTTTTAAAATTTTAAGTGTTTGCTACAGATATTTTTTTTCTTTTAAACAGTGTAAAAAAGGCAACACTAAATTGTGAACACCAAATTAAAATTTTAACGAATACTTTTTACTACTTAATTAGGTCTAATCCCAAAAAATGAAAAAAATCAAGCAATTTTTACATTTTCCTACGACCACTTCAAATGAAAAACTTACATAATCACAAATATAATAATTCCATTTAAATCTTAATAAGTAGAAAAAAGTTAGATTTTAAATGGGGTCGATCAAAGCAACTCCAAAATTAACTAAATATTTACGGAACGCCAGAGATCTGTGACCGTTGGATGGTTAAAACGTGCTGTTTATTTTATTATGCATAAACCCAGCAAATATTATGAAATGGCTACTCTTTCGTTATTAACTTAAATCTTTGTAAATTTGCAGAGAATTTCATTAATTAGTATTATATTTCGCCTAAATTAATTCAAATGGTCAACTAGCCAGTCGGTTTTTGAAGTTATAAACCTCTATTCTCCACGACGAATAAAATGTTTACCTGTTCACCGTACACAAACATTATCAGGGCTCTTAATCCCCAATGTAATAATAATTAATGAAGTTCCAACACCAAACTCAGTATAATCTCTTTTTCGGTGATTACGTGCAAATCAATTAAAAACGTAGATGAAAGCAGGGCAAAGAGACAATACCAACGTTACGTATTTTTTACAATTGTGACCGAATTTATAACACCCCGGAACTGTCACATAAATTGTTCAATACTTTTTTTGAAAAAAGCTCACGTTCATTGGCAATAAAATCGATCAATAGATTGTGTGTTTTTCCACTCATACTTATTGTTAACAACAACAAAATATTTCAAAATTAATACACGTTACTTAATTTTTTTGGACTAAGATTTAATGAACTAACAATTTTTCACTCGTCATTTAAGACTGATTAATTTTCCACGAGGATCAAACTTTTAATTTTCATGTAAATATGCGCAGTCCAAACTATGTTATGTTTCCCTGTTTTACAAATGTCAAGCAAACTAAATGAGTCATTTTTAAATAATAAAAAATAGGTTACGATAATCCTTATATTTTAAAATTAAAACAGGGGTGAGTTATTAAGCCACAGACAAAAGAGCATCCTGGGTGTTCCCAGTGAGATTGTCTTTATAACATTTTGTAATTCCGTTCCTTTTTAGCGACGAGATTTAACTGACCAAATGTTTGTACATCCCCTAATAAATCTACGCTGTTCCTGCAACCATTAATACGTTGGAACTTAAAACAAGTTCTTAATTCATCACTTTCCCACAGTTTCCCCTATACCGTTCGATAGAAGTAAATTCAATTAAATTATTATTCAATCAAAGGCAGACTCTACTTTAAAATTAACCATTAAATTATTACACCACATCGTTTGTTTTTTATCCTTCGATCGATATCTCAATTTAATTAAACGGTCATTTCGTTTGAACACACGAAAAAGTGGCCATAAACCGCATCACATCATTTTTCTCGATTTGATCCTTCGCAGATCCCTGAAAATGCAGGATATTAAAGTCAGAGTCAGCTCCCTCTTTTGTTGAAAGCTGAATCCGGTTTGTTTGGCCGACAGACATTAGAGGGCGATATTGAAAAGCTCTGTTTCAGTTTTAGAGCTTACGTGCTAGGAGCGGTTTAATTTCAAGTTCTCTTCAATACGAAGTCAAGGACTGACGACTTTATGAATTGAGATGAGCTCTTTTTCACATACCCTAACGACCACACTCATTTTCCAGTTTAATTTCCAAACCGAGACGGCCGCATTTGCATAATGTAAACAGCGCTTTAATTATTCATACAAGATAATTTTGTTTGAACGAAGGCGACAATGAGGGCGAGAAGAACTTTATTGTAATTATTATTTAAATCGCTCGTGAAGTGTATCAAGGTGTGTTATGAAGGTTTTTTTTGTGAAGGGAAATTTATGAGTGCTGTTACAGCCACCACGCGTCTAATGAACTAAAACGTGATCAATTTTCTGTAGGTGCGGTGATTAATTATAGTCCTGAAAAAACATTTCTTTGTGTGAAAAGCTCAAACGTGTTGTTACGATGCGGTTGTTTGGAAAAAAATCAGAGACAGTCGGGAATATTTAGTTTATGCTACCAACAGTTTGTTTTGCCTTTGTAAACCGGGCTTCTATTGGCTTTCCACAGGAGCTTTTACATTAAACGTACAGTTTGGGTGTTTCAGTTGTTTCGTATGCATCGTAACGTTATTTTCGCCGACAAATCAAACGAACTAAGAAAAAAAATCGACAGATAATTTGTAAATGATTTAAATACTGTAACCGGAATTACGAACAGATGTTGTCGACTTTAAATCGTATACGAACACGGTTGATGTTGTTACAAAGTAAATGTTGTTCCTAATTTTTTAAAAGAAATAAGTGTCTTATATGTTCGATGTTTATTATGATAAGTGTGCTTATTGTTGAGATTAACCTGCCAGTGTTATAGGAAGTAGGAATGTATTTTTTGTAAGTGCATTTACAAATGTGACCCACAAGTGTTAATCAAAGCAATACTACGTTAAGAAATTATATTTTTATACAAAGTCTGCGCCGCACAATTTTTTTACGACAATAATATGACCGTCGAAACCAAAGCAAAGCCTGACGAAAAACCAGCCAAAATTACTTCTAAGCCATGCAACCGAGTTAAAATAGCCGCTCCGTACGCCTATGTCGAGGTAAATCTAGACCTAAATCATCAGTAAACTCCACATAAGCAAATATTATTGTTATTTTATCATTTCAGGAACTGGTGGTCAGCTCTCCCAACGAGAGGAACTGGAGGGGCATCTTCATAGCTCTTCTGGTCATAGTTGCCGTTCTTGGCCTAATCATTTTCAGTATTGTACTCGTGTCACCGCCTGAAGAAGGGCCTAGGACGAAGGGCAACAAGCCTTCTCTCGAAGACATCTTCATCAAACTTCCGCCTCCAGCTCGGTTCAATGGGACTTGGCTTACAGGTAAATGCGGTCTCACCATGATGTGGGTTTTCATCAAATATTAACCGTGTCGGTGTGCTCGGTGAACCGCATTAGCCCATCACACTTAAACGCGTCGTTTACCCGATAACGCACTTTCCCATCGTCAAGATAGTATTTATTATCAATTTTGTCGGCAGTTGGGTACGTCACGATCAAATTCTTAATTTCTTTCCGATAAATTTGATGGGCGACCTTCGGCTGATCTTTTTATAAAGGGGGAACTTTCAGGCGGATCCTGTCCATCACTAATAACACTTTTTAAATATGTAGAAAAACACGTATTAATCATTCTTGTCTTATTTTGCGTCCAAGATTGATGATGTAAATACCTACATACAGTTTCTGGTTACCGTAGTAACGTTATCGATTACTTATAGAAACGTTTCGCCTGGGAATCTCCACGATTTTTCTCTTTAGTGGTATTTATAGGATGAAATTTGTGGATGCTCAATCAGTGGTAATGATGTCAGGACCAATTTTCAGTTCATTTATTAAAGGATTTCCGAGCCTCGACACTCCCGATACTTCGATATTTTCGGTCTGTGTAAAAAACCCCAAGTAAACAAGACATTCATTTTTCGTATTAACTTAATTGATCACGATGGGATACAAATAGGGTCATACATTTTTTTAACAGCCGCTATATTTTTGCCAATTTATTTTAGTTCCATTCGGGAGGCACAAAACTTTTTTAATAAGAAATGCCCATTTATGCTAATGAATAATACTAATTTATGTAACGAGTGTGTAAAAAGACACTTTTTTGATTAATGAAAAATTTAAATCACGAACGAGCGTTAGCGAATGGAAGGCAAACCTGAAATAAAGACACTTTTATACATCAACTACATATAAGATTTTTTGCTACGACAGTATTTTAAAACAGTGGTATTAAAAATCTAAACATTTTGTTTAAAATGAGAACTCTTTTGTAAATCCACATTTTTGCGTTCATGTCACGACACCAGTTGGTATTTTGTAATTTACCAAAAATTTTTTTCAAGGTATTATTGTTATTTTAAAAACAACTTTCGGTAGTGGGTGTTTAAAAACTATTGATTCTAATATTGAATGAATAACTTGTTAAATAATACATTTAACAAGTTATTCTACTTTATGTTATTTTTTGATGTAAAAAATATCTAGAGCGAAACATCCTACAGATTTAGTTCAGATTTTTGTGCCACATTCAGAAATTGGATTATTTGCTATCTAAAAACAAAATAACAGTACGAGAATAATAGTAAATATTTGTGTCCAACGATTCCTTTCTAGACTTTGGTAAGCAATATTTTTAAACATAACCACAACCAAACTGACATTATAATATAAAATGCAGTTATAATATAGACAAAGGAATTGGAAATTATGAAGTAAGCTCGACTTCAAGTTTAAGTTTAAGAAGTTACTTCGTGGAGCTGACATTATCCAAATGGAAAACGTTAAGAAAGGTTATTATATAGACTAAATTATTACATTAATAGGTGACCTTATCACTACAAGTTGCAGGAAGATATAACCTTAAGACGTTTCTGAAGTTCAGTCGTGGTACTTGGAATGAAATTTAATTTAGCAATTCAGCGTAGTCAGTTAAATTCTTACTTTAAAAAATACTGAGTCTTCAATTTTAAAAATAAAATCTTATCTATTACTGAAGCATAAATAGCATAACACTACATCTAAAGGTATAATTTCAGTACTTAACAAGTTTTTAACATTCCTCATCAAATTCCTTGAGCCATTTTAAGATTGTAAAATAAGTACTAACCATTTTTGTACACCTCTCTGCGCATGTATGTAGAAAGTTACTGTGAATTGAATTGTAAATCGCTAATCAGAATTTGTCTGCTCATTTATTTGTTGAAATAGAAATTTTTAAGGTTATCTCAGATCTTACGTAACATACCTTTTCGAAATTTTGGTAAGGTACTAAAATGTATTTAAGGATTATAGTTCAATAACGTTGTACTTTTTCGTTTCTTCCACACTGATGATCCTACTACAAAAAATGATCAAATAAATTTTGACATAGAATATTCAGACTAAAAGCTTCACCTATACAGTAAGATTGACGATAATGATGTCCACAAAATTTTATGAGAGACCTTCTTTCTGTAACTAGTAAAATTTAATAAGTATGTACATATAATTCAAGTGGATCATATCCTATTTAAGAAAATAACTTCATGTTATATAGCTGCCTAAAAAACTAAGAACATAAACATATTTTTAAAATAGATACTTTTCCATATAATATGGATCATTCCCCGTTTTACTTACCGAGCATAAGCTAAGGACGTATTGTATTGTATTCGGCGAATGGACCCCGTTATGTTTTCTCAAAGTTTCATGATCCCTAGAGTACGAAAAACTAGGTCTCCCGTTTCCATCCGTCTGTCATCTGTCACCATGATGATTTCTGTTATACGGATGTTCTCCGAAACTACTGGACCGATCGTGGTCAAATTTTATAAATATTTTAGAAACATAAGCAAGCATTGTAAAACGCTAACCAAAATTTGTCTGAGCATCTCCATCAACAATGTGATGACGTCAAAATTTGGCATAGTAAATGTTATTTAAAATTTATAAAGTGACGTACATTTGCGATTTATAAATCCGTCTTGAGGTGGTACCATAGATATCCAGATTTAAAAATAAATCAAAATATGTACACAGTATGTATAACAACATTTTACAATTTAAATTTGAAACTGCTCTGAAATATTTTAAACGCCTTAAGGCTATTTTAACCATGGTAAATGGGTAATGGTAAATTTATAAGTTTGTCCCATCACCCATTACCAAAATTTTTACTAATAAATCCTATCTAAAATATGCAAAATATTATAAGATATTTTATCAATGTCTTCATATTTTTTAAAATTGCTTCTTCAGGGTGACTCAAATATTATGAATGAGACATTTTGTATTACTGATCAAATGTGGCCATCACCTTCTTTACCTTTATTTTAACTTATAGGGGTTATCATAATAAAAATCACAAAAACAAATTTCATAAGTGTTCGAAAACCTGGATATGTTGTATTATACTTCAAGGGCCAGGAAAGTTATACCGAAATAACCTCGCACCAATAATTGACGACGAAACTACAGTCTCATATAACATGATACATCAGCTTATTTTATTCATTTTATTTATTGCATATCAGGCATCAAAAATATTATTTTTTTTATAAACCCACATAAGTAAAATAAGCTGTATATACCTGCTGCAGTTATAACAAACGTGGCTGTGAATTTTCAAAACAAGTTTGATTTTCTTTTCAGAAAAAATCAAAATAACTGTGTCTCCTAAATACAATTCAGAATGGCAGCTAGACTGTAATGACTGTATACGAGAATCTTTTCATTAAATATGAACATTTAATTTTCTTTGTCTCTAAACAGACTTATTAATGATCACGTTTTATTTAACTATATGGGAAGTATCTAGTTCAGAATATGCCTTTTTTTTCTTTATTTTTACTTCCCGAGCGTAAGCGAAGGAAGTATTATAATCGAGTCCGTTGACCGACTCTCTATTTTTACGTTTCCTCGATCTTTCATGACCCCTACAGTACGAAGAAATAGGTCCCCGTTTCCGTCTGCCTCTGTGTCTGTCTGTCCGTCTGTCTGTCTGTCTGTCTGTCTGTCTGTCTGTCCGTCTGTCTGTCTGTCTGTCTAATTATCCCCACCAATAATGTGATGACGTCACTTCAAAATTATACATAGTAAATGGGTTTTAAATTGTGTAAAATAACATAGTCCTACACATGTAGTTTATGAGTCCGTGTTGAGTTTTTACCCGAAAAAATCAAAATTATACTACAACAGTTTACAACTCAATTTTTGAATCTGCCCAACCGAATGCTTTGAAATCTTGCAAATATTTTAAAGTTATGAAGAGCATAAGAAATTTTTAGCCAAAATATATTTACGTATCCCCTCCAAAAAATTGATGACGTCATCTCAAAATTTTGCCGAATAAATTCTATCCAAAATGTGCAAAATATGATGAGTTCTTACTTGTGATTTATCACTGCATTCATATTTTTTAGATTTGCTTAAACAGGTGGCTCAAAAAAATTAAAGAATGAGTCAATTATTTTATTGATTAAATCAGGAATCGCTGACTCTATTTTCCCAGAAAATTTTGGAACACAATACTGTTATTTTTAGTATTATACTGCACCAGTCTAAACTGATATACGTGTCGTTGCAATAATGTTGATGACGTCATCACAACATTGTGTAAAGAACAAACTCAACTTGAAAATGCTGGATATGTTTTACTGGACTTCAGGAGCGAGGGAAGTTCTGTCGAAACAACTTTCGACCAATTTTTTTATAAATGTACTAGATTCCGATCTGACTACATCGTCATCAAAGAAAAAAGATTGATCTAAAGTTATTTAAACAGAACGCTCCTCGCCCTTGAAGCACACGTCAACAAATCCGGTTTCGAAAAATTGTAAAATTTGATTTTGCGAAATTTTATTTATTTTTGTATAACACAGTGTAAGTCTGGATGTCTAGAATCAAAGTGGATTCATAAACCACAAGTACAGGAATGTGTTATTATATAAAATTTAAATAGCATGCAAAATTTGGACGTGACGTCATCAAATTGTTGGTGGGAATGAATTTTGGTTAGCGATTTATCATCTACACGATATTCCTGAAAGACAAAATTTGACAACAGTCGGTTCGGTAGTTTCGATAGTAGTAGCTAGATAGTTAATTTTCGAAACTACCGATTGTTGTCAAATAGATATTTGTCTTATAGAAATCGACACACAGACGGCAAACAGAGAAATGCAGACGAGAAAACAATTTTCTCATACTCTACGGGTTATAAAACGTCGAGGAAATATAAAAATAGTCATTCGTTGGATAAACCCGGTACAATACGTCTTTACCTTACGCTCAGGAAGTAATATTTAGGATATAAACCTGACATTTTTTTACAATTTAGATGAAAGAAAATACGTTCAATAAATTTTATTCGACGCAAACAAAAAGCGTCGAATTTAAATATACAGGGTGTTATTGAAAGGTACGTACAACAAAATGGACAGTTCTTCGCGAAGTCTAAGAAGTCGGAAAAACTTATTTTGTCTTATCAAAATTTTAAGGGGAAAATTAACCCTTATCCAATCTTTTTAGACGCTACTGAAGGATAAATAGGTAAAATTAATTAATTTTAGTAAATCCTAGCAACTGTAACAATAAAACTTTTGTCAAGACTAAATGTTGCTATAGAAACGAAAGATGGTCTTTTTATCAGAGGCGTACAACGAATTTGGCTATAAATTTTAATAATTTTTATCTCTAAAAGGAGAACACTTTTACGTGAACTTTTTTTAACTTTTAGCACCCATACTTCGAGACCAATTGCCGATTTTATTTTGTACATACCTTTCAATAACAGGCTGTATATATATTTTTTATTTACCATTTTGAAATGTATTCAACAAAGTAATATACTCTTTAATTTTTTCCAAAATAACTATTAAATTTCCATTAAAAATCAGCAGTTTCATCTGTTATATATGTTTTATAAGAGTTTAAATATTTTATTTATAGTTTTTATTATATTGACAAACAAATATTTTCATTTAAAAATTTACACCTTCCGCTAGCAAAATCATACGAAGTTCTTAAATTTCTTTCAAACAAAAAATACTACCTAAAACATTCAGCGCCTAAATTATTTTGATTATTTATAAAAGGCAAATTTTATGACACGAATTCTATATTTCTCTTGCAAGGCTCAATTATTATTTATCTGTTGATTAATCGAGTAACTATTCTTTTTACTTCCTGAGCGTAGGCTAAGGAAGTATAGTAATCGAGTCCATTGGACGAATGATCACATTTATATTTTCTCGACGTTTCATGACCCCTACATACGAAAAAAGTAGTCTCAGGTTTCTGTCCGTCAGTCTGTCTGTCTGTCTACATCAATTTTTATTAGACACGTAATCTCCAAAACTGCTGAACCGATTGTTGGCAAATTTTGTACGTCTATGTAGATAGTTAAATGCTAACCAAAATTTGGTTAATCATCTCCACCAACAATTTGATGACATCATCTCAATCAACCGTATTTTAAAATGAAGTAAATGTAGCACACGAATTTGCTTTCAGTTTTTCCGTTCAAATTTTCGCAAAAATAAATGCACGATATAATAGCGTTATATTACCGCCACGAAAGATGTGAGCTTATGGCGCAGTGGCTCAGCGGCATTCTGGGTAAACCGACGACATTCCGTCGTGGGTTCGATGCTATACATGGCGCTTTCCTTTTTTTTTCCTGAATTGGTATAACACTGTGATACTTTTCTTTTGTGCTGTGACTATAATTATCCATGCCATCACAAATTTTCTATTGGTCAAATTAAGAACGAGTCACCCCATTTTCTCGAAAATGTGAAGAATAGGTACGTCGTTATATAATAATGATAAAATAAGAATTATAATATTCAGAACATTTTGTTCGATTGTGGTTTAATCATTTTAGTCCTGTTTTGAGAAGACAAACTCATTCAAATCAAATTAATTTCTACGTGACATTCTTTCGATGTATAAACATAAATAAACACTTCAGCTTCAGATTCTTATTACCATGTGCTGAAGGACAAGGGGTGTTATTTATGCCTTTGGTTATGAGTTAATTTATTTTATTGATTAAATCAGGAAGAGCTCACTCCATTTTCCCAGAAAATTTTGGGAATGCAATCCTATTATTTTTAGTTTTATACACTGCAGCAATCCAACTTGATATACGTGTTCTTGCAAAAATGTTGATGACGTCATCGCAAAATTGTGTAAAGAAAAAAACTCGACTCGAAAATGCTGGATATATTTCATTGTACTATTTGTACTTCAGGAGCGACGGAACTTCTGTCGAAACAACCAATTTTTTTCCACTCAATACAGAAAAAATTTCCATTAATATTCGTCGATCGATATATCGATTGAACTAATTCGCTTCGCATAAAACTAATTCATTATTATTATTACATTTTTAACACTATTGTTAACCGCAATATTTAGTATATATTCGTATCGTATTCATACGATTAATATTTTCAAGTTACCAGCATAAGTGGGCTTATTTTTCAAGATGAAATATTGAAAAAATTCAGATAAAAAAATCCAATAAACGGAAAACCTACGACATTCGGCCTGTTATAGCCTTGTTTTGATGGTGTGGATTTTTATTTGTAGTTGTTCTAGGGTAAAGAAAGGCAGCCAGTCAGAAACATTTCCCGCATGAAAACAGAGTCGTAGTTCTCCGAATTCTGTATAATCAGACAATTGACTTATCTGAATTATGACGCTGCTGGAGAAATCTTGAAACTAAATTAACGTCTCTTTTTCAGAATCCGAGTTTGTATATAAAGACGAGCATGGAGGAGTTACGTTATACAACGCCGACAACTTAACAACAAGAATAATAATGACGAATTCAACGTTTGTAAGTTTTAAAGCTCCCTCGCAAGTACATCTGCACAAATTTCATTTTCAGAGACAATATGACGCGGCGGATTTCAGAATTTCAAACGACTTGAGGTATGTCCTTCTTATATGCGAAGTAACGAAAATGTACAAGTACACGACCTTGGCCAAATATTACATCTACGAAATACAAACGAGGTAAGGAATTTTATTCCTATCTCAGGAAATGATTTGTTGTTTTGAAGGATCCGCAAGCCTTTATCGCCGAAAGAATTGGACGACAAAGCTCCTTTCTTGCAATATGCGTCCTGGTCACCAGATGGTACAGCGGTGGTATTCGTCTACAATAACGACATTTACTACAAACCGAAAGTAGAAAAGGATTTAGTTTGCAGAATAACCAATACGGGAAAGCAAAATATTTTGTATAACGGAGTCCCCGACTGGTTATACGAGAACGAGATACTCAGGACTTCGCATACAGTTTGGTTCTCTCCGAACAGTTTATATTTGCTTTATATTACTTTCAATGACACTGCCGTGGGGGAGTACAAGTACCCTTGGTACGAAAGTAATAATCCCAAAATCACTTATCCTAAAGTGAAGTCGTTTCGGTTTCCAACGGTAAGAAATCTATAAACAGATTGAAGAAACTGCGCAATATAAAAAGCAATTTTATAGGTGGAAACTCCCAACCCCGAAGTTACCGTCTGGATGGTCAATTTAACCAGACCGAAGTATCTTTTCCCTGTGGAATTAAAACCGACAAACAGTGTTGAAACTGGAAGTTATATAACTAGCGCTAGTTTCCTCGGGGAGCAGAACGTAGCTATCATTTGGTTAAACCGACATCAGAACGTCTCGGTGATATTAACATGCAAGCCACGGTATAATTACAACTGCACAGATGTAAGTTACAAATAGCGATCGATTTTCTCTAATTGTACGTTTTTTGAACATTATAAAACTCAAAATTTCGAATTTGCAAAATTCAAATCGTAATTTCTAAAAGATGACAAAATGCAACGTGATAAATACGAGTATGCTGTTCGTGTTTGAGCTTTAGGCTAGTGGCTCATGAAGCAATTAACAATCTGGAACTAATAAACTAATCGATACCGACCGTCCTAGGTAATCATGTCACAAAAGACTTGACGCCATGTATAACGATCTGCACTGGTCTGGTTTATAATACGTAACCCTTGACTTGTACACAAGGCGTCGTTCAATCATAAACCACAGCCCAGATCCATAAAAAAATCTTATCATTGAAGCGAAGATATTGTGCTATACGGTTATTCTCTCGATTATCTTTACTGTCAACGTGCACATCCCATAAAAATCTTGCGGACCTGATAAACAGGGGATTATCGAATTGCTTTAACGAGCTGCGTAAGTCTAAATATAAATTTAATATTACTGACAATTTATGATACAGTCAGAATCAAAACAATCCAGAAAGTCCTAATACATCTTATTTTTTCGTAACAAAGGCTAAATTATTAGAAGTAGACATGTATATGTCAGTACTGAGTCATTCTGCTGAGTCAACACGCTATAACTCTTCATTTATTAGTGGTAAATTTAATTTCTGTTACTATTTTTTTTTATACAAATTTTCATGTTTTTGCTACACTAGAATACGAAAAAGTAGATCTTCCGTTTTCATTTATCTATCTATCGTCTGTTGGCAATATTATTAGACAGATAATTATCTTCGCAATTGCTAAATTTACTGTTCTGAAACTTTAGATGTACGTGAAAAACAGAAGAAGATAGCTGTGATTTATTAACCCAGCCGTTTTTGTTTTTGTCCGTGTGGGTTCTTGGAAAAAATTGAATTTACAATTTATCCTAGAAATTACAAATTGAAATTTTTCGTTCATTTTGACGCTGTTAAAGGAGTGTAGACATGTTAAGTCGCTAACCAGAATTTAGTTAATCGTCTCTTCTAAAAATTCAGTAACGTCATCTCTAAATTTTGTTAAGCAAATGTCGTTTGAAATTTCCAGTGTAATATGTCCCTTTATTGTATTGTAATGTATGCAGATTTGGATATTTTTTTAGAATCGCTTATACAGGATGTCTCAAAAAAAATAATTAAGGAATCTGTTTATTTTACTGATTAAATCAACAATGGTTCACCCCATTTTCGCAGGATTCCGGATACATTCTAGACATTAAAATTTCTATATTTGCTCCCACTGAAAAATTTATGACATTGTCATAAAATTGTATTTTAACAATGCACCTTTATTTTTTTGTTTGTTTAATCAAATTAATCGAAAAATCAATTTTTGTAATTTTATAAAACTTGTATTGAAATATACATTTGTAATAATATAATCGAAAAAAAGTCGTCCAGAAGGCTTTAAAATTGAATCTTAATAAATGATATTCGCAAAACTATAACGGATTCCTTGTTTGGTTTGACAGTAAGTTACGGTCAAATAACTATCAAAAGGTTCAAATATCGGATGATCAAAAACTTTTCAGATTAGGATAGACTATGGAAATATTATTAATGTCATCAGTATCAACAAATTGAAAATGTTAAAACCAAAAATGAAAGCCGCCATTTCCATAGCCTACTCTAAGCTGTAATGCCAACATTTATTTGAAAAATAAATTTCATGGCCTAATAGAGGATTTTTTTTCAATCATACAGTACATACAATTGTGTAAATAAAGCACTTACAATTTTTTATATATTCTTTACTTCAGAACAGAAATGCGCTGCTATTTTCTATTAGTTTTAAAAATACTTTAAAAATAAATAGTACAGAATGGAAGTAAGTTTATACCCAAAAAAATTTCTAATTTTGAGTTTATTAATATTTTGGAAATTATTCTTAAATAATGGCGCAAAATTGAGTTCTTAAATTGTTGTTTTTAATTTTTTGATAATTGATATTATGGTATTAAAATACGAAGCAGTGAAACAATCACTTCAAGATATCAACTACTAAATGGAAAAAGAAACTTTATATACATATATATAAGTATATTTCGTAGCTATTATAAAAAAAATTAATTAATTAAAAAAATTATTCAGCATTTATCAATAAAATGATGACTTCTTCAGCAAAAAAAATAATCCGCAAGTTTTAGAACTTCTTTTATAAAAAAAATAGTACACAGATAATATAAAAGAAGATTTTTTGGAAAATTTTTGCGTTTTTAATATAATACAAAAACGGCAAGAAATGTTATTTTTTAAATTCGTTTTGAAATATTCTAGAAGCTCGCAAAATGTTGAATACATTTTTGATTCGCAGTGAACTTTGATGGTATAAATTACAAATTATATTGGGCGACTAGTTACTTTTATGTTTTCTCGGCGTTTCAGGACCCAGACAGTACGAAAAAATAGGCCTCTCGCTTTTGTCTGTTAGTCTGTCTGTCTATCTGTCTATCGGCCGTCTGTGTTGATTTTTATTAAACAGATAATATTCGAAATTACAAGACCGATTGTTGAATATTCGAATTTTCAGCTTTTCAGTTTTTCGAATTCTCGATCTTTCAACCATTTTCGTTATTTCAGTTTTTTGATTCTTCATTTTTTCACTTTTTAAATTTATTCATTTTTACCATTTTCAATTTTAAGCATTTCCAAGTTTTCGATTGTCGATTTTTCAAATTCTCGATTTCTAGATTTTTCGGTTTTTTAATATATGTAAAAGAAAGACGTTTTTTGGAAAGTCTTATTTTTTAAATTCGTTTTGAAATATTTTGGAAACTCGCAGATTCAATAAATTTTGATGGTGTAAATAACAAATTACATCAGGCAACTGGCTATTTTCATGTTTTCTCGGTGTTTCATGACCCCTAGAGTACGAAAAAATGGGTTTCTCGTTTCCGTCTGTCTGTCTGTCTGTGTCTCCGCCGTCTGTGCCGATTTTTATTAGACAGATAATATCCGAAATTATCGGACCGACTGTGGTCAAATTTTGTATGTATGTTAGGAATGACGTCCTCTCCAGAATAGAATAATAAATGATATTTAAATTTTATAAAATAACGTACTCTTCCACTTGTAGTTTATGCATCCGTGTTGAGATTTTTGGAAAAGAAAAATCAAAATATATAACAATTTTTCGATTTCTCAATTTTTCCAATTTTCGGCTTTTCGATTTTTCGATTTCTCGATTTTTAACCATTTTCGTTATTTCTTTCAGTTTTCTGATTTTTCAATTTTTCCATGTTTCAATTTTTTAATTTCTCAATTTTTCATTTTTTTTTATTTTTCGATTTCTCAATTTTCCAATTTTTGAGTATTACGATTTTTCAATTTTTTTATTCAATTTTTCAATTTTTAAATTTATTCATTTTTCCCATTTTCAATTTTAGCATTTCTAAATTATCGATTTTCTGATTTTTCGAATTCCCGATTTCTATATTTTTCGGTTTTTTAATATAAAAGAAAGAAGCTTTTTGGAAAGTCTTATGTTATTTTTAAAATTCATTTTGAAATATTCTGAAAGCTCGCAATGATTTGAATGATTCAATAAATTTTTGATTTGCGATCAACTTTGATGGTGTAAATTACAAATTACACCAGGCAACTGACTGGCTATTTTCATGTTTTCTCGGCGTTTCATGACCTCTGAAGTACGAAAAAATAGGTCTTTCGTTTCCGTCTGTTTGTCTGTCTGTTCGCTGTTTGTGTTGATTTTTATTAGACAGATAATATCCGAAACTATCGGACCAATTGCTGTCAAATTTTGTATGTATGTTAGGAATGACATCACCTCCAAATTTTACAAAAATGAATTTTATTTAAATTTTATAAAATAACGTACTCTTTCATTTGTGGTTTATTAATCCGTGGTAAGTTTTTATTCTAAATATCGAGATTCTTGCAAAAAAACAAAGTTGTTTAACAATTTTTCGGTTTCTCAATTTTTTGAATTTTCGGCGTTTTGGTTTTTCGATTAAGCATTTTTTCAATTTTTCGATTTCTCAAAGTTCCGAATCCTCTTTTTTTTTATTCTTCGATTTCTCAGTTGTCCGATATTTCAACACTACGATTTTTCAATGTTCTGATTCTTCAATTTTTCAATTTTTAAATTTATCCATTTTTCCCCTTTAAGTTTTCGATTTGTAAATTTTTCGGTTTTTCAATTTTTCGATTTGTCAGGTTTTTAATTTTTCATTTTTTTTATTTTTTAAATTTTCGATTTTTTGACTTTTATAAGTATTGTTCCAAGTTTAGATTTCTCGATTTTTCAATTTTTCGATTTCTCAATTTTTCGATGTTCAATTTTGGGATTTCTGATGTATCAATTTCCCGTTTTTTCAAGTTACCGATTTTTCTGTTTTTAGATATTTTAATTTTTTGATATTTTAAATTTTACATTTTTGGATTTCTGAATTTTTCAGTTTTTCGAATTTTCTATTTTTCAATTTTCGATTTTTGTTATTTTAGATCTTTCAATTTTTTGATATTTCGAGTTTATGTATTTGAAGGCACTAAAAAATTTACTAAGTACATTGTCTTAAAATTGTGTTTTAATAATTCACCTTCATTTTTTTCTACAATCAAATTTTATAATTTGTCTAATAAATATACAAATAAATCATCAGTTTTTGTAATTTTAAATTTAAAATATTTTTAGAACTTCGGTCCTTTATCATGTCATTTATTGAAATATTGAAAGATACATATATACAGAGCATCTAAGTATCTCATACTCTCAGTCAACTACCACATAATCGAAAAAAAGTTCTCCAGAAAGCTTTAAAATTTAATTAATTTTAAATGACGTTCGCAAGACTTAAAGGTTTGTTGACTTCCCGGTTTCATATTTTTCAGTTTTTCGATTTTGAAATGTTTTAATTTTTTGATTTTTAAAATTTCTCGATTTATCGACACTCCGATATTTCAGTTTTTCAATGTTCGATTTCTCGATACATATTTCAATTTTTCAAAAAACATTTTTCCCCTTTACATATATTTCATATTGTCAACACTCGTACGGACCACGTCCCCTTGGAATTTGCGCCCCCACGGCGCATAGGCTGCGAGAGTGTTATTTATGTCACTGGTTTTTCCTTTGTAGAGGTTATTAGAAAATGAAAATCACAAAAAAATATAATTTTTTAAAGGAGCGAGATTTATTGGGCTGAACTTCAGGAGCGAAGGAAGTTCTGTCGACATAACCTTCGACCAATTTTTTAATACGAAACAGTTTTTTTCGAAAATATATCAGCATAAAATTTTACACCAGGATTATTTTAAAATTGACACTAATTATTACTGTTTTTGATTACATATGTATTATTTATGTGTAAACTATGTTGTAAACAGAAAAAAAATGTACATATATTAGTTATGGAAATGTGCATTTTTAAAAGTGCTTTAACAATCAAGAAATTTTAGCAGAGAAGTAAAGGGACATCAAAATGAACAAACATTTATAATTTTTTGATGCTTATGTAACTTAGCATATCTAAGTATACCTGAAAGTAGCAGGTGTACAATTTCCATTTTAATAATTTGTTTCCAGTTTGTTGCATATCTAAATTTGTGACATTAATTTATCGCTTCCGTACTAATCCGGACTTATTTTAGTTCCACGTCGAGAAGGAACACATAGGGTGGACCGAGAGAATTTTCCACCCAGTCTTCTCACGTAACGGAAATCATGCTTTGGTACGACTACCCGTGAAGGATGGCGATAATGGTCATTACATGCATGCTTGTCTACTCTTCAATAACAACGTGATCCCTTTAACACACGGGGCTTTTGAGCTAAGCCGTATTTTAGCGTGGGACGAACAAAAAAACCTAATGTAAGCTCCAAGACCATTATATTGTTATCTAGACGTCTCTTTAAAGCGATTCCTCTTCAGATATGCTTTGGCAACGAACGAAAATGCCCCCGGGGTTCGGCATCTTTTCAAAATAGGAGATACGAATTCTTCTCAGCCATGGACGTGCATGACATGTCAGCCTAGAATAGATCCGAACGTTACTTATTTCTTTTATCCGGATTTTATGAACGAATCGATGATCAATGACAGTTTGCTCGTGAACTACGCTTGTGATTTCAACAACGTCATCTTCAGTAAAAATTACAAATACTACATACAAGAGTGTCTGGGACCAAACATTCCGGTAGTTTTTCTAGTAGAGACTGCCACTAATACAAGACTTGCCGTTTTGGACGGTAGCATCAAGTTAAGGAATAAAGTTAAAGACTTATCATCACCACAAATCAAAACGATCCAAGTAGAAATAGAAGATGGATACAAAGCTCAAGTAAGGTTGTATCTGCCACCAGTGTTACGCGAATATGAAGAGGTGACATTTCCTTTAATCCTCTTAGTGTAAGTCCTGAAAACACCCAGCGTAAATTAAAGCATTAATCAATCTTCGCAGTGACGCGTCTCCTTCCTCTCAAACAGTTTCGCAAAAGTGGGAGTTGTCCTGGCCGTGGTATTTAGCTAGCACTAGAAGTTACATTGCAGCGAAAATAGATGCTCGAGGATCTGGTTTTCAGGGTGTAAGAATGCGAAGAGAAATTAAGTACAAAGTTGGATCTGTCGAAGTTCAAGACCAACTCGCTGTTCTCACTTATTTGAGAGACACTTTCAAATTCATCGACAGGACAAAAATTTGTGCTGTTGGTAAAGGTTACGGTGGGTATGTTGCCACCATGATGTTACTACAGGACTTCCATCAAGTGATTAATTGTTCTGTTGGAATTTCTCCCATAACTAACTGGAAATATCACAGTAAGTATCAACCATTTCACTAAAAAACACTTTCAACATTTTTATTTAGATTCCTATTTCACGGAAAAATATTTGGGAGTTCCTTCGAAGCATCTCCAGGAATATGATAACGCCGATCTCACCATGCGAGCGGGGAATTTAAATGATCGTCGATTTTTGTTGGTTCATGGAACGGCAGATACTTCTGTCACCCCACAACAAGCGCTGTTATTTGCGAAAGCGCTTATCGATCAAGAAGTTCTCTTCCAACAGCTGGTAATTTTATCGCCGATTTTGCAATTTTTTTCTAAAACGCGGCTTTAAGGTTTATCCCGACGAGCGACATCACTTCTCGAAGAAAGCTCTCCTTCACATGTACAAAGAAATTGATCAATTTTTTAACGATTCTTTCGGGCCCGTGGTGGACGACTGGAACGATGATTCTAGTTTCTTTATACAATAAGTTATTATTGCCAAACATGATCATTGTTATAAAGAGAAAATTATTTAACGTTTTCATCTTGGATAAAACGGATGTTAGTGATTCGGAATTTGGGTGCTTGAAGCTTGAAAGAAGAAAACGTCCATTTTTACTGCAATGAAAATATTTTGTATTTCTAGAAGTCGATTTTGTTATATGTTTAAGAAGTATTTTTACGTCATCGTTCATTGTGCAGTTGTGACCATAAGAATGAAAGTTGCTGCATTCCAGTTTTTTATAATATGAATATAAATGTATATATGTGCCTAACCTTAGCTTTATCGTTAATCGTTAAAGTGAGTATGACATATTTTTTTGTTGCTGAACATATTATGTAACTATAGATATCATATTCATTGTTAATAATGTTATATTTGTACGATATGTACTGACTTTTATGTGACACCAAAGCCAAATAAATGTTAACTTTATTCGTACAATTTTTTCAGATTTTATCCCACAACCCACAAGTGACAAAACTGTTTTCAGTTCATTATACGGACAGATTCGGTCTAAATGACGAATGTGATTTGTGGTTAGCGGCAACCCAAAATACATTATTCATTTATTCCTTGATTCACACTAGAATTTCAACAAGTGCAATACTTAAAAACCCCCGACAACAACAAAATAACTCTTAAAAAGTCTGAAATTGGTTAATACAGTCGATTCATCAACCACGTTGGGGATTAATAAAATGAACTCTCTTACACGCCTTTAGATTCGACTAACTGGCCTACACGCGTCAGTCAAAACCATACTACATATCAACCTTGTCAATAATTTCTGGTATGACAATTTTTGGTATTCCAGAACGTTGTGCGTTTTCAGCAGATGTACTCCTGCGGTTGAACTCATTAACTGAAAGGCGAATGACTTCATAAGAAGAATATGAATCACCCAATGTAGGAATAATCTTTTCATGGATTTCTTTCGCAGTTTTCCCTTCCAAAAATAAGAACTGGATCACACCACGAATTGCAATGTTCTCCTTTTTGAAATAAAAATCAGTCGACACGTTGGTATTCAATTAATTCCTAAACGAAGAATTCCGGACAGAATGACTTGACATTGTAGAAACGTCATTTCTTGGAAGCCTACGTGAAGACAATATATTATGTAGTTACTGCTTTTTATTCTTTCCCCGTTCAAGACGATGCGAAATGAGTTATTTATCAAACCACCCTCGTAATAAGAACTTTCCCCCATAAGCCGACTTTCAAACAAAAGAAATAGCATCGAAATTCATGATCTTGAAATGATTGAAATGATTATCGTCAAACATAGCTAAAAACCATCACGAGTAAGCCAACTTTCAACTAAAAAACACCGGATCCAAATAGGTTCATCCGTTTGGAAGCTAAAGCTAATGCTTTAAAGTTTACAAGTAGCCTAAGTTTTTATCATCAAACATAATTAAGAACCATCCCGATCGAACCAGCTTTCGAACAAAAAAGCTGAAATTTTCTCAAATCGGCCCGGGGGATCACGAATATGTCCTTATTTTTGCTCTAGGGACTGCATTAACCGAGATATTCAACTTTTCAATGTCGGTTTTAACCAAAATTTGTGGCACTTGGAGGGTTAAATAAGTTAACTTGGATACTAATTCAAGATCAACCACGTGCAGGGTAAGCGAAGAAAAATGTTGCTTCTCCGGTGGAAATCGAACCGCACGTTTACCGCTTGCCGGGCGGGTGCCCTTACCACTAGACTACGGAGGAGCTTATCTTTCTTCACTTACTACTACGTATTATGGTGTCGCCACACACCTTTATAGACATGCACACAAAAATACAAATATAGGCTTTCATCGTTCGCGTTTCGCGATATTTACGCCCTTATGTAAATAGAGCTTGAGGTGATTGACTCGTGAGTAGGGCAGGTTTCTCATGGGGTAACCAACGTACAATGGGTGCGAAAACATCGAATCAAAGTGACATGACCAATCTAATGATGGTCTTAGCTGATAAGATCCAAAATTGCTGACGCAACAAAAAGAACAGCATTTGGTTAACAGTTCAGTCAATCGGTGTTTTGGAGGAAGAAGCAAGGGATTATTCATATCGAAGGGAAGTTGTGCATGTTGAAGACGGCCAGCTAGGCATCACTTTATTGTGTATATAATTACAATTAAAGCATTTTTGGCTTTGCTACAAAGTGAACAATATTTGTATTACAGAAAACCAATCAAAAGATGTTAATTCTATCTAAATAATAAGGTCTAAACTTAAAAATGATAATTTGTGTAGAACCTAAGATAAATAACCTCTATAAGAGTACATATGTATATACAATATAGGTGTAGTTGGTAGTCTAGTTTAAGGTCAATAATACTAAGTTAGTATTAAGTTAAAATAAATTAGGTTAGGGTTAATTTCCAGTTTTTAGTCTTAGTTATAGACTAGATTAAATTAGAATTAAGTTAGCGTAGCCAATTCCTAAATCTCCCTAGTTCCTTTCCTTTCATTCAAGTAAGTTCATATTGCAGTAAATTAGGAAATTATATTAAGAAGCAGCGGCCGAAAATTTTGCATTGCCATAAACCTGTTTCTTTTTACTCCATATGTCTGCCATGGAGGGTCCAGTCACCCAACTGACTTGCGCATCAACGACTACGGCTCGATAAGGGGATTGAAAAATTACAAGGTCAGGTTTGTAGAGGGTACCGTCGTAATGTCTGACGTGGGGCTCTTCCTCTGTCCCGCCTTGCCGAATGCAATGCGCAGCCACCTTCTTAACCACAGCATCATGCCAATGAATTCGTTCGTCGTGCGCGACGGGACATCCTTGAAGAATGTGGCTCAAGGATTCTACAGCGCTACATCCGCCCCGACATCCCCGAAGTTCCTTGGAATTCGGCATGATACCAACGGTGGAAAGGTTGGAAGTGCGAAGATTCACGGCCCTTACCCAGTCAACAGCGTTCCATCCTGGGAGGCGCCGATCAATCCAGAACCTGGAAGCTGAATCCTGGCCAGTCTTTAATACGTTGAATTTTTGGTCTGGTTTTAATGGAAGTACTACAAGCCGTTGCAGCAAAACGGGGTAATTTGTAAGACATGGTTTTACTTGTCCCTGATGTCGTAATCGTGCCCTAGATATCTTACCGGGTTGAAGTCAGTAACGTGTGAAACCTGTTGACCGCCGTTAATTGTGGATTTAGTAATGGGCACCAGAACCCCTTTCTCTCTTTTTTTTTATTAACGCATAGCACTTTGCAGGATTTACCGCCATTCCCCTGCTCTCAAAGAAGACGATGCACTTGTCAACCAGTTCTTGAAGATTCTTTTCAGACTCAGCGAGAAGAACCACATCGTCTGCAAAAGTTAGAACAGGACAACGGGTTTCGGGATTCAACGGGCAGCCAAGATCGGTGGATGTTAATTCGTTGATGAGGTCCTCTAAAACGATATATATTAAATAACATTGGGCTCATCGGATTGCCCTGTCGAACGCTTCTCTTTACAGAAACCGGAGCAGAATTTTCTTGACCTACCAGGGACGTAGTGGATGAAGATGTCAAAGTGGCCCGTATATAATTAATGTGGAGAGGAGGTAAAGCTTTCTTCATAAGTGCACTCAGTATGGCGTGGTGGGATACCGAATCAAAAGCTTTTTTTAGATCCATACTTAGGATGAAAGTGTTGAATCTGAGGGTGCCGTCCTTTCTAACGAAACCCCTCTGGTTCACATTCATCAAAACTGCGTTGGACATACGATTGGCTAGGACCCGGTGAAGGAGACGTTGGGGAGCGGAGAGCGGCACCGATGGTAATGGGCCGCCAGTTGTTCGCGTCCCTACGATTCTTACCTGGCTTTGGAATGAGAATAGTGCGCATCTCTCTCCACTCCATTGTTGGTAACCGGTCGCTATCAAGATGTTATACAGGACGGCTAAGCACCGCGTTACCGCACTGGCTGTTACACCGTCTTTTCCAGGTGCTGATTTGGGCCATCTTTTCTTCGCTTCTCTCAATTCTGCTGGGAGGACTAGAGAGAAATCGGATGCCTCATGCGGGTTCTCCGGATCTTTGGAGGCGTCGAACGGTGGTGACGGACATGGCAGACTGCATAGAGGGCCATTCTGCTGGAACGTCCAATTGCTCCCCCGGCGCTGCTAGAGCTAGGACTTTACAGGTATAGTTACTGGGGGTGAATTTACAGGAGGAAAACGTCTGTCCCTTTCTGGGGACTCAGGAACGATGGGTGATGGGGATAGGCCATAATCGCTCGCCGAAGATTCTAGGTTCCAAACCAGCCGATTATTCTCTTCGCGTTCCTGCGTGAATTTAGGGGATACCATAACCAAGACCTTATTTACTATCGATGTATCCAACTCTTCATTAATACACCTAAGATAGGAATAGGGTTGAAGCAGATTTAGCCAAAATAAAGTAATATTATTTAAATCTGTAGTACTTTAGGTATCCATAAGTACATGGTATTTCAATAAAATGTATTATTTATCTTATCTGCAGTTTAAATCCCGGAGTACTTTTGTAATTCACAGTTCAATTTTTCTATCAAAATAATTTCAACTAGGATTTAGCTGCAAAACATAAAACACTCAATTGAGTCAGTGTTATATTTGTATCATCTTTCGCCGAATCGCTAAAAACAGTATTATCGTACGCTATTCTGATGTCAGTTAAGTATAATGTTATAGTTATTTCATTTAAGTGGACAACTTTTAGAACAATGAAAGTATTGGCAATCGTGTTGATATTATTAATTTATCTACTACAGGACTTTAAAAAAATCATTGACTTTTTTTCGTTTAATGTGTATACCGAGTGACTATTAAAGTTTGTGATTTTATTTGTCAAGTTAACAACAATTCTAAATTTTATTATGGCTTACCTGATTGTCAGTTTGAAATTTATGACACAGTCAGTAAGCTGCCGTCTTCCCATCATATTTGTCAAGTGCGCTCATATCATAGGTGACAACTGTGAACTGACACACTAACATTTGCTGCCAAGAATTCAGAGTTGCCAACGCAAAAATTTACTTCAGTTATTAACAATCACCCGGTATTTTAACAGTAACGAATCGTACCATTATAGTTATAATAATAATAATAATACTATACGTTTCTTAAAATATATCATTATCTGAAATGAATTGTGCCGTATAGGTGTATAAGTACAATTATTATAGTTCATTTACACTCACCGGCATGAAAAACGGGCCAGCTAATATTTTTCTGAGTACAGTGCTCCAACGTTTTTACTGCGCATATTTTTGATGTTGTTTCTTGACCAACATATTAATTGAGTGTACTTGCACCCCACACTTTTGATGAGCTTCAGAATGTGCTTTTAAAGTAATGAGAGAATATCCAACAAGAAGAAATAAATAATTTATTTCATGGGATGCCTTGGAGAATGGCAGCAATCTTACAGGTTCGTGGGGGAAATACCCGTTAGTGACGTCATTAGTGTGTCCAATGATCATTGATTTTGCTTTTTTGGAAACTTTAGTGTTTTTTTTCAGCTTTGTTTGATTTTTGAATTTTTATCACTTTCTATTAAAATAATATATTTTTTAGTTCTTTTTGGATAAAAATATTACAATAAGCGTTGCATAACAACATCAAAGTATTACAACCGAAATCGTACTTTATTTTGCACATTTTCGGATCTTAAAAAAAAATAAGGGTGGCCCGTTTTTCGTGCCGGTGAGTGTATTTTGATAACGTGAAATTTGTAATTTTTAAATAAATAGTGCAAATAAGAACTAACACTGGACCTTAAATAAGAATGCGAAAAAATTAAATTTGTAAAACAGGACGACAGAAAAATATAAAAATTCAAAGATTATAGTTTTTTATTCTTTGAAACTCTGCTGAAGTGCTTATTAAAAAATCCATTAATTAATTTGAACACAAATGATTTTATGTACCGTTCGGTTGTTTGTTCAAATTTTTATTTAAAATATCACTATCACACACTGCTGAAATATTATTATTTTAAAGTATTGTATTAATTAAAAGGATCAGTGATAATGCCTACAAGCAACATTAATAAAAGAAATTTCTCTTTACCAGATTTCAAGCCAGCTGCCAACCTAAAAACCATCTGATTCCATTCACCTTGACAAAGTAACTAAAATATTCAATATGGCTCCTTGACAGTGACGTTTGTGTTTACATAATTGCGTGTATTCGTAATAATAAAATTGTGGCTAAAACGCCGAGAAAATCGAAACGGATAATATCTGCTCAATAATAAAATAGAAGTGCATGGATGACATCTATTGTTGCAATCTTTTATCAGATGATAATCATTATCGACGACCAATCCGAGATAAAATACTGTGAAAAATGGTATTCAGTGTAAGTTCAATTAAATATCCATAGTAAAAAAGCTGTTCCTCATGTCCTACAAAGTGTTTGGATAGTGATTGCCGTACATAACACAGTATTGTAAGTACCAATTTAATTTTTTCCTTCTGCTGCTACAATGACAGCTGACATTTTAATAGAAAGTACACTTTTGGTTTAGATCCGTTTTTGCGACCTAAATTCCAGAGACAGAGATAATGCTTTATTATCACATAGCCAAATTTTATCTTTTTACTAATAAATGGACCATCGCGACCCCACCGACAGATTTTCCTGTTACCATATTGAAGTCAAACCAACATTAATCCTATCACTTTCTCAGACGTCGTCGTAGCTTTTATTTCTAACAAGCGTATTCAAATTAGTATATTCTTAGACCTATATGGAAGAAAAATCAAAAATTTTAATTATTGAAGTGAAAGTTGTGGCTAAAGTTGGAGTTTGGTTAGGTTACATCTGCCAAACCTGCTCAGAGCCACAGAAAGTTTGCATCTTCCAGGAAGTCGCAATTTTCTGCAGCTGTGTCGGTCTTGGCAAAGCAAAAATCGAAATTTTTATTACTGAGTTTGATATGAGACTTTCAAGGACAGCAACAGTTCCAGGCTTTCCACATGTCTTGATAATCTTCGCATCCCCAAGGTTACTATTATTCATCAGTTTTATTGTAGTTGAGATAGCTATATAGATCTAAGAGAAGTTTTATTAAATCGTTGTACAAATCATGTACCTTGCTTACGAGGAAAAGAACATTATGTTTTCTATAAAGTTCTTTGCAATTTGTTTGAAATACTTTGCCATGTGGTCATGTGGAGTACTGATTAGAGACTATGTAAAATTGACAGATGTGTACAGGTGTTGGAAGTCGTAAAAATTAACCATGTAGCGTAAAGCATGGCAAAAGTTGATCTGGAATGTAGGCTAGAATGAAATACCGTTATTAGACATTTTTGTCTGTTCTCGGAAATGTTTTTGAAAAATGCTAATCATAATGTTGTTATCAGCGTTATCAACAATTCATTTAACTAGATTACATTTTTTGACATTTTTAATATTGCTAAAACCATAAATGCACTTAACTAATGTTTTGTACGATATATGGAAAGGTTGCTTTATTAAAATCGTTCTGTTTTAGATGATGTTGCCCATACTGGTATCGCCATGGGAACACCAGGCGATAAGGCGAAAATCGGAAAGGTAGTACAAGGAAGTCAGCTGGATCCAGACCAAGAAAGCGTTCCTCAAACAACAACTTCAACACCAAGCGCGTCAACTTCAATAGCCACAAGCTCTGAGAGTACCTTGATTCCGCAACTACCGCAACCAAGCACTTCAACCACAGAAATGGGGATGATCAGTAGATTACCGCAATTCGAAACATTTTCTGCCATCAACGTACATCCATCATTGCCGCAAACGGTAGTAAAACAAGAAAGCTATCCAACAAGCATGGGCGCCCTAGAACAAGCACATATCGAAGATTATTTTGCCCAGTCCAAGTATTATCCTAGCGTATCAGAAAATTTGCAATTATACCAGTCGGTCATGCCACCAAAATCAAAAACATTCCTCAGCATAAGTGAACCAGGACCATCAGGATTACAAACACAAAAATCGAAACAGAAAATGGGCGTTAAAAGAACAAAGAAGTCGTCACAAATTCAAAAAAAGGGGCATTCGTGTCCCGTGTGTCAAAAGAGCTTTGCAACCATAGATAAATTGTCGAAACACCAACAGACACATTCTGGATCATCACCCTTTCGATGCGAACATTGCAAGAAATCATTTAGTTCAAAATTTAAGTTAGTTAGGCACGTTTTAATTCATTCAGACCGCAAACCGTTTAGTTGTACAGTTTGTGAACGGACTTTTCACAGAAAGGACCATTTAAAGAATCACATCAAAGTCCACAGTCCTAGTAAGAAAGTTTATGTGTGTGAAAAACCCGATTGTAAGAAAGAGTACACCTCTCTGATGAGCTACCGAAAACATCAAGCTCTCCACGCGGCAGAGGAAGGCAGCTTGCAGTGTCAAATTTGTTCTAGTGTTTTTTCAACGAAAGAAGAGATTCTCTACCATTTAAAAATACACGCCGGAAGTCGAACAGTAAAGAATCCAAATGAAAAGAAATTCACTTGTGAGCACTGCGGACGCAAATTTTTCACGAAAAAGGACGTAAGACGGCATCTAGTTGTACATACAGGCATGCGCGATTTTTTATGCCAATTCTGCCCACAAAGGTTCGGTCGAAAGGATCATTTAGTTAGGCACATAAAAAAGTCACATTCGAAAAACGTACCGCCAGAAGACATCGAAACTGCCATTAAAAGTGAGATACCGGAAACTATCGTCAAGCCTGAGTTAGTGATGATTAAATCCGATCCGGAAATTAAAACTGAGTTTTCCGAAAGTAGTCTTTCAAATCCAGAACAATTTGATTTGTCCTTTGAGGAAGTTAGTAGCATATTACAGCAAGAACCTTTCGATCCGTTAACGCCGTTTTTAGAACCAGATTCTGAGGGTAATTTGACGTTTCTGCCCTCTACATCCTCACAAGAAGAACTGAAAGACTTGGGAAGCACCATTTTGGAGGATATAGGAGAGAGTTCAATGATTGAAGAAAGTTTAACCGACCCTGATGAGGAAATTTTAGGTCAAAGTGTTTTAAATAATCCTGAATTACAAAGACTGCTAGAACCTTCAGAAGAAAAAAATTTACCTCTGCCAGGGTTCAGTCAAACTTTCCAACCTCCCCCTCCTCCATAACATTCTAGTTACCAACTGAAATTAATATAAATTTGATTGGCAATATTTTCACTGTTTTGCTAAAAGTTACCACAGCTATGTAACTGTTCAAAACGATTTCAGCACATATGTTCTAGTCTTAAATAAATTATTGTTGTTTGTTTTCTCTGTAAATAAGTCAGGCAGCTTATTTGTGTTAATATTGCCAAAATAAAATTAAGTAAAAAGTTGTTGAGATTTATACACATTATATTAATTCAAATGTTATATTTATATAATTTGCTAAATTTATCAGTGTTTGTTGTAACAAATTGCAAGGAAAACACATTTGCATAATCAAAAGCAAACAGGAAGAAATCTGCTTGCATCACTTCGAAATTATTATTGTTATTATTAGTTGTATTTCTTTTCAAGTATTTTTCCTATTAAAAGTGTACTTATATTATTCAATCTTTCCAAATTCTATTAATATGCGATTTGTTGCAACATTATTTTGTTAGATGTAATTTTGATCTGAGAACCACTTAAAAATATGTTGTGTTGTAAATTATATTTATTTGTTAAATTGTTTCCAAAGTTATCAACGCTGGTGCTAAATCCATCTGAAAACAATTGACAATTATTGTATATTATTGTTAGATGTTACAAGAGATTAGATATTTTCCATTGTTAAATTTTTACCATTCAAGCATATCTCTGTAAAAAGTACTTTCACCACTTAACACGATCAAGTACAAAATTGGACATTTCATCGACTTTTCGCTAAATTAAATTTAATTTATTGTGCAACAGGTGTGATATCCAAGCTAGCAAAAAGTTGATGAGACACTAATTCTATCAGTCTACATTTTCCGATACTAATGAAATAATCTACCTCATTTTGCAACAATTCATTGCTGTACAATCAGCTAGTCATAGTTATAAGTCTATCTGTATGATGTTATAATATAGTTTTTTTATACATAATGTATATTACATAATATATTTTACCATGTATATAATTATTCATATGAGTCTATTTTAAAATATGTACATTTTATTTTTATACATGAAATTATAGTATTATTTATATATTCAAATTTAATTTTATTTCAAACACGAACAAAGGACACTTTGTTCTTACTAAAATAACAAAATGCTAACTTGAACTTGGAAATTAATTCCCGCCTAATTATAAAAGCGTGCAGTTCTAAAGCTAAAACTAATCAAAGTAAAAGACGACTAGTCTGGACTAGTATTGGCTGTTCTGTGTCATAACAACTTACTTAAATGTTAGTTGTACAACAGAGCGGACTTTTCCTGTTAGTATTACTATTACTAAAACGTGTTTTGATATGAAAAAAGTAAAATGTGTGTGCATTACCATTACTGCTTCACATTTTTCATAAAAGATGCCAAAGTTATGGAAATTAAACGAACATTTTTTTCTATTAAGAATTTACTTCTTCAGAATTTGTTATGCTTAGATATAAATTTTGCATCTGATTTTTCCAGTTTAATAAATAATAATTTTGCACATGGTTATATAGGCTCATACTTTTGTAGTGATGAAATTCTGATAGTAAATGATTTAAAACTCATTTATAATTTTCATTTGTTTTGTGGACAAATACTACAATACAAATAAGTAGCAAACTAAATTAAATAGCCACTTAATTTGAAATGGTTCGTTTCTACGTTAGCAAAAATATTCATTAACCTTTGCTACTTAACCAGTGTAAAACGTTTATTCTCCATTTGATGACTTCATGATCTTATCTTGCCTGACATCAACAAGATGTTTAAAGAGATAAAGGGAAGATAAAGAGTAAAATCTTACACTAATTACGCAACAAAACATTTCTAACCACGCCCCCTCCCCACTACTCATAATACTATTCCGAGAAAAGCATAGAGTAGGGCCAGCGTCATTGTTAAACACACTATCCTTATTAATATTATACTACTGCAAGAGAGATATTTACTTGATTTTTCAAATTTATCAAAGTGAGAAAACCTGCGCTCTGCTTTTCAAATCGTACGATGATTTACCTTCCTCAAACTGTTGTGTTTTAAAGAGAATCTGTTAACTGAATATATTCCTTGATAACTGATTTAAGTTAAGATTTATGGCAGCTTGGAAAAGAAAAGTAACTAAAATATAAATATGTCGTTATCTTGCAGACTGATTTCGTTGACTTGATTAATAAATTCCAGTGCAAATCGAATTTTGAAAGCAGGTTGTTTAACCGTTAACTTATTAAATTCTTAAACTAATTACTTCGAAAACTTTACCTGTTACTACAGAATTGAAATATAATGTAAGTCCAGCAAGGTGCGAACTTATAGTCGACACAAAAAACAAGTATTTTCACAAAAAAAAATGGTACCATAAAACATAACAGGGACGTTTTTAATATGGTACTAAAATACAAAAACTAGTACTTACCCTCCTGGTGTCCATTTTTTAAAAAGCAAATGCACTTTTATTGGTAAGATAATCTTAGTTTGCACTAAACGTCCTAGCTAAATTTTGGTAACATATGAAGGGAATGTGTATTGTGTGTTGCCTAAACCTACAATTTAATCACAATTTCTAATTACTAGAAAAAATAAATGTTTATTACTATTTTTCGTTCTCTATTAAAAAAATAAGTAAATAAAGGACACGTATTCAATGCTGTTGAAAGAATAAGCGCTTAGACCATTGGATTAGACCGTGGATTAGACCCAGGCTTAGATTTAAACTTGTTTTGTTTTCTGTTTTTTTGACATTTTATCCGGACTTGTATCGTTGTCCTCACAATGTTAAATTATGTTAAAACTGTATTTATAATTTTTTAATATTATACAAATAATTCGAAAGTGCGTTTCGAATTTTTTTCTGGTGTAGAAGGCGACCTTGTCGACCACAGACAAGTTGACACTCCTCTTCCCAATTTTTGGCAAACAATAGCTAAAACATCGAAAATGTTTCGTTTGAAGGTAAAAGTTCTTGTTTACTTTATTATTTAGTGCATCTTTTTTAAAAGTAGCCATAGGGATTCCCATGTTAAATTTTAGACCCCATATAACTTAAGTTAACATAATATGTTAACTTTTGTTAGAGTGAAAACCCAGAGATGAGAAAATAACCACACTGGGTTCTACTTTAATTTTCACTACCACTTTTTGCAGTAATTTGCTAATTTGTGCTTTAAAAAATAAAAATTTGATTAAAAAAGTTTGGTACATCATAGACGGTTTTGACTTATCATTTTAACTTGTCATTTTTGACAGCATAATTTTGATTTAATCATTAAATACCTTAATTGCAGTTTTTAGAAAAGAAACAGAATGATGGAATGCAAACATAAATGAAGATAATAAAATATAATTTCACTGAAATTGCGTTTTTAATGTCCAAGATCGAAAAAACCTGTTTATAAATCTGCCACAAAATTTTCAAAATGTGCTTTTGCCGGATATGGAACGATGTGAGAATGCTGCAGCAAAATTTTGCGGAGTTTCTCTGTTGTCGATAAGGCTTTAATGTGTCCATCAGTGACCATTTCTACTTTTTCTTTAATTGTGTACTACGGCATGTTAACGAATTTCGGTCACTAAAAACCAGTAATTGAACGAGTAATCAAAGTTTAGAAACGTCAGGTAAATGTCTGTTTTTTCATGGCTGCCTATAATATTAGCGACAAAAATATCCAAATATTTTATTTTTTTTAAGAAATATCCTTTAATTTAAAACATTATTTTTAATAAAATCGACAAAAGATAACCCAAATTACATCCAGTAAAAATTTCAGCTCTGAATCTTTACTCAAACATAAGTTAACATGGGAATCCCTATGGCCACTTTTAAAAAGATGCACTGTATACAGTGGTTGTGGCCACTTGTCAATGCGCTTAATTTTAAATCCTTTACAGTTTCTGTAAGGTTGGTATGTAATATCAAATAGTAACTTTCGCTTTAGAATGATTGGTCATGTTCAGAGACTTTAAATATGTATAGACTGGCTATGTGGCCTAAACTAAAATTTGAAGTCGGCACTCGCCATATAAATCGCGCCAAATTTAAAATCTCAACAAGTTCAAAGTTATAAAAACACGATCTTAACAAGTTTATTTGGAAAAGTAAGGTGTTGCCGATGAAATGAAATACCTTTTTGGCCACGACTTTTTTGTTTCGAATTACGATACCACCGTACAGCACAGCTTACTGGCATTTTCGTTCAAAGTTTACTTAATTTATTAAGTACTATCATAACAAACGTAAATACATACATAAAAAAACAACAAATACCAGCCACACGCAGCATCCAACAAACAGACTTTGCTACTTCTGTTAACGAAAACTTAAAAACAGAACTGGGATAGTTCCGGTTATAGGTTAAGTTGGGTCAGGATTGAGGATTGACAGAAAGGGACCAGCAATGGCGGCGTTTCATGTGCACGCCACTGCTTCAACAAAATACACTAGAATTTAGGGTGATATCCGGTCTATACATATTTAAAGTCTCTGGTAATGTTGCGTAAAACGTCAAACGTGCAGACATTTAGGCTGTGCATTTAGGTTATGTCCCTGTAAACAAAGTGGGCGAGGGCGACCCTCCACGAAAAGACTGTCTCGTGTGTGATTTTTTTTAATTACTAGTAGTGTAATTGGTAAGTAAGTAAAAACCGTCGTCAGAACGTTTTTTGATAGTGAAATAAGTTTTAGAACAATGGGTTTATTAACCGACCCAAGTGCCGGTCAGGGCAAGGTAACGAAGGCGCTGGTAAAATTGTATGTAAAATTGTGTGCATTACTATATTTGGCTGGAATAGGGTGGTTTTGCTCCCTCGCATACACCCCGATGAATACAGGAACATATTTTTCTGAAAATGCCCTTTTACCAGGTCTAGTCAAATCCGAATTTCGAGAAGATGGAACAGCAAAATTCTACCATGAAGAACTTTTGGATGAAATGAAGAAATATGATGACGGAATTCCATATCCGTGGTTATTAGCAAAAATGAAGCAAATAGGGTTGTACACGTACACTCATAACTTCACATTGCATTATCCACTTGGAAGAGCACAAGTAATGTTATTGCTAGTGATAAAAACGTACGTTATACTACTTATTTGTTCTAGAAATTCACCGGAAAAAATGTTTATGGAATAGTTAGAGCACCGAGAGGCTCAAGTACTGAAACTTTAGTACTGAGTGTCCCATATCGCCCTCCTGTGAGTGTGCATTCAACAACGGCCCCATCTATTGCTGTAATGTTAGCATTTGCAAAATTTGCAAGAAGTATGTCAACTATTTAATTAATAAATTAATTATTATTAACTTTTAATTCCAGAACAAAATTACTGGGCCAAAGATATCATATTTCTAATCACTGAACATGAGCAGCTTGGTATGCAAGCATGGCTCGAAGCCTACCATGGCGTAACCTGTGGAAATGAGTTTACTTTAGACCACGGTACCATCCGAGGACGTGCGGGAGCTATACAGGCTGCCATTAATCTAGAACTGCATGAACCCATGCTTACTCAAGTTGATATTAAAGTTGAAGGCTTAAATGGGCAACTACCTAACTTAGATTTATTTAATTTAGCCGCAAAGATGCTTTTGAAAGAAAGCTTGCCACACACGTTTAAAAATCGACAGAATAAAAATTTACGCAATCCAGTAAGAGATTGGTACTACTCATTCCAAACATTAATGGCTATGGTTGCAACACAAGCCACTGGGGTAATTTAGATTTTTCTGAGTTTAATATTTTTTTTACTTTTGTTTTATTACAGATACCTAATGGCAATCATGGACTGTATCACAGATTTGGGATACAAGCACTGACACTTGAAAGTTCAGACTTGAGGGGTGGTAATAAGGCAGGCTTTTTGGTTATAGGTCGCATTATTGAGGGAATTTTTCGAAGTTTAAACAATCTCTTGGAACGTTTCCATCAAAGTTATTTCTTTTATTTGTTACCGTCGTCGGAAAGATTTATTTCAATTGGTAAGAATATTTTGAAACACTCAATTGACACATAAGTATTTTTTTTTTTCACTAAATCAGAGATTTTTGTGAAATTTTATTATGATTGTAATATTAAAAGTGCAACATGTGAGAAAAATTGGTAGTCAGCCTATAGTCTGTTAAACAAACTTTCGATATGTTACTGAGAACTAGTTTTTACAAAGAAAAAGTAATATTTATTAGATTATAACTTCAATTATTTGAAATTTCACTAGTGTAAATGTCAGTGTTGTCAATAGTAATGTGTAAATATGGTTTCTGGTGACATTTGTGAGGTCATGGACATAATAGTGACTAGTGTCATTGTTAGCTGCCGTCAGTCACTTATTTTCAGTTTCTTAATTATTTATGAATGAATGAAAAGTAAAATCAGTAATAGGAAACAAAATTATGCTACCAACACCACCTCATTCAAATTACCAAATGAGTTGCAGATTCTGTACCGCATTGCCAACCTAAACTGTACCCGAACTGGGCACGTGCGACCCGTGTCGACTACAGCTGATTTATTTTTAAGCTGTATAGTTTTGATTATGGATTGATGACTAATATCTTATAATTGGTTTACGTATGTATCAACGATTCACATCTGGTTTACGGAATTTAGATGATTTGATCTTTGATTCTGTCAAAAATATTTACGGGGTCACTGGTTGAGCCAGTTTTACATTTTTTGAATTTGGAGTTAATCAAGGTGAAAATTTAAGACAAAAAATATGGATTATAACAGTAATGAGCTATATTGTGATAAATATTTTGAAATTGATAGAAAAATTTAAATGATTGCAGAAAAAAGTGGTGATTAATTGTAGTAGCGCAAAACTAGATGGATAAGCTATAGATGAAAATTAGAAAGTAAAGAGACCTATTTTTTTATCATTCAACTAACCGTATATATCTATTCGTTGTAACATAAAAATAAAATTTTTATTTTTTTGGCTTAACGGATAAATTGAACTTATAATAATAATAATTTTAATAGTAATAATAATTTTATTGTCCAACAGGTTTCCCTAGTGACAGGACAAATTTAAATAATTACTTACATGAATAACCAACACAAAAATTATAAAAATAACAAAAACATAATTCCAAGTATAAACTAATTTGAATAAAATATATCAGTTACAAACTTATCTGTTGTGTCCTAAAATTGTTATAAATGCTTGTGTAATTTATTATGTAAAATGTAAAGTTAACGGTTTTTTGAAAAAGTGTTCGAAACCTAAATGTAAAATAAATTTGTAATACCGGGCGGCTGGAAAATGGGGGATTAACTCTCCGCTAAGCTCTTAACAATCACGTGGTGAGTCTGGGAAAAATAGTAAAAAAATCCTTCTCACATTTTGGTGGAGTTATAATGATTTTAAAATTGGTTCTTTTGCTATGTTTAACAACTAAACTCATTCATTATCAGAATAACTAGTAATAAAACTTTTAGTTAATATTTTTCGTGCCCATGACCCTGTTTAATTACCATTTCAGTTAAAATGTACAAAGATATGGTTGTGTTGTTTTTGTAATAATTTAATAAAATTCCATTGGGCAACAATGTTTGCTCGACATAAAACGAAGGTACAAATCAGCAAAAATTGAGTAAGCAGTTAAAAATATTTGACGTATTAAAAATTGTCAAAGGTTTCAAAACTCTACGTTTAATATGTTCGAAGTTAATTTTAGGTAAATTTTGGGATAAATTTACAGAAATCTGGTGTTTTGTTGCTAGATGAACTTGAAAAAAATCTTTTGAGATTTTAGTGTTTTATTTTTTACGAATTTGAAAAAGCCTTGAGTGCCGCAGTGTTTTTTTTTTAATTCGGGAGACTGTTGGATACCCATGGTGTTTTATTTTGGGAGCCCATGGAGATTGTTTTTGTAAATTATTTAAAACAATTTTAGGGAACTTTGGTGTTCTATTTTTGGAAAATTCTGACCTAACCTGTTTTTGAGTTAATTTTGGGACCCCGTGTTTTTTTTTTTTGGAAAAAATTTAAATCAAATCTTGCTGTTCTAGATATTCCTGTTTGGAAAAAATTTGCAAGTGCTTTGGAACCTCTAGTGTCTTCTTATAATAAATTAATTAAATTTCTTAGAGGGTACGTCATTTAGTAAAATCTGTCTTATTTTAGTAGATACTAGCCCCGCCCAGCCGTTCTCTATTTGCTTAGCGGGTATGTCATTTTCGAAAATTGATCTTACTTTAGCAGGCACTGACTTCCTCTATTTTAGAGAGATCTCATTTGCCAAAATCAGTCATATTTTAGCACCTACTAGCCCCGCCCACCCACCCTTTCAATTCTCAGAGGGTACGTCATTTGCCAAAATAAATTTATATCTTAGCTATCATCTCTCTTTTCTTAGAGGCTATGTCATTTGCCAAAATCAGTTTTATCTTAGCAGGTACTGATGACGAACTTTTACAAAAAATGATCAAAATTTGGAAACATTACGAGCTTACTTATATGCACAAGGCAGGAATTTTGAGCATCTTCTGTACTTACATACACAGAATTACGTTTTTTTCGTAATCTACATGATAAAGATTTTTTTTTGTTATTTTTTTGGGATTCCCAAAACTCCCGTACATAACGTACTGAAGAGTTAATCCGCCATTTTCCATACACCCGGTATAGCTCGAATAAAGCGTTAAGACTTTCACAGGTAGATATCACTGTTTAATTTTGTCAAAAAGCACAAACAAAAAATTGAAAGAAATTTTGAAAAAGTTGTATGATCGTCAAATTAAGGATCTTGTTATGGAATTTTATTTATTCGGACAGGGGGAATAAGTTAGAAAAGTTGATTTTTTGCTAGATTTTCGTAGTTACTTTATAATATTGTTTTTAACATAGGTAAGCCTGCAAAAAAACGTAAACATTTTAAATTTCACATTCTCACCTGTCAATGCTGCTTTACACGCAATATTACACACAAATAGTGAACGATATCGAATGTGCCGAATTTTAAGATAAATTCAATCATGCCATTTTACCGATAAAGTTTATTTATTTCTGACTGTTGCTTCAATCTATCAAAAGCATACACCGAAATGTCGAGTGGTATTTTAAACCGATGGAAATGTGATCGTATTTATCGATAATGATCAGAGCCTACCAAATATACAGGGAACATTTGCTGCGAGTATCAGCTATGTAACTTCAGAAAAGCACACATTTTTTATGGTGTGTGGCGGCACAATAACACGTCGGTAAGCAGAGAAAGATAAGTGGCCTCGTGGTCTAGTGGTTAGGATGCTTGCCCGGAGAGCGACAGGCGTGAGGTTCGAATCCCACCGAGGCACAACATTTTTCTCTGCTTACCTACATGGTGTATTACTTAAAAATTTGGCAGATATAAAACTACTGTACTGATTGCTTTGAAATTTTGGCTATACTAACCAAAATCTCATGTCTTCCAAAGAATTATGTTGACTTACAACTTACAACACATGCATTAATTTATTAGATATACCGTGTAATTTTTTAAATTTCTGCTTTAGTTGCGTATTATGACGAGTACGTCAGCAGTGCAATTGAAACGGCTGACGGAAGCATCATGGCCAACTAGAGCAGAAATAAAAAAAATCACCCGATATGTATTTATTGCTGTAACGTTTATTGCCCAAAAGACCGAAAACACAAAAAAATTGAAAAGTTAGCATTAGCTAGATAAACCTAAACTAAATAGTTTATTTCTAGAAAAAAGTGAATAACTTCATCTGGAAAAAATATGCCTTAGTTTTTTTTAAATTGTTTACAGGGCATACTAAAAAATAGGGATGCATTAAATCACAAGTACAGACTCATATTATTTTGCATATCTTAGATATAATCTATTCAACAAAACGTTTGTAAGATTTCAAAGCATTCGGATTTGTAGTTTCTAAGTTAAATTGTAAACTGTTGTTACAATAGCATTTATCATGCAAAATTTCGAGGCAACGTCGTCAAATTATTGGTGGATCGATGATCACACAAATTTTGTTTAGTATTTTACCATCTACAGTCTACACCATGTTGCTAAGTTATACCTATAAATTTTGGCAATTAGTCTAATTCGGAGATTACAGGTGTAGTAAATATTGTCACAGACGATAGACGACAGACTAGAAGGAAACGGGACACCTATTTTTACATTTCCAAGGAGTCATGAAACGTCGAGAACACATGAAAGCGGCCATTCGGCGGTGGACCCTAATACTTCTTTACCCTTGGGTAAAAAAGTAATGCAAAGTTGTTTGATTTTACCCTCGTCGCCTTTGAAACACAACTGATGTTACATTTGGTGCGCTTGTAAACGAGAGCGTAGTATTTGTTAATTAATATTTAATTTGCAAAAGTCTATTAAATTATGCGCTTGGTCATTAAAAGTTTCGTTTTTGCATAATAAATGAACCTTGCTGATGTTACAAATCGATGCTGAATACAGTTTGAACACCCGTAGGTACTTCAGGACCAGATTATCAACTTCGATCATATAGTGCGTGAAGTTACATGCAATATTATCTGCCGTTTCGTGTGAATTTATCGGGGATCGTAATTCGAAGAAATCCCCAAAATGACCGATTAATTTGTTTGTAATCTTAATTCTGAAAATTTGAATTTTATATTAAAAAAAAAATGGGTTAAACAAAGATATATAACCTTGATAAAATGTTATTGAAAGGTGTTGTAATTTACGGAGTTAATAGTTGTTTCTGTTTTTAGATAACTATCTATAGAGATACAATATGTATTTGTGTTAGGAATACATTTGATCACTTGTCATAAAAATAGAACATATGTGTGGGTGTATGTGTGCGTATGAGTGTGTGATTTTTATGCAAACACTGTGTTGCAAGTAATGTGATTAAGTAGTTTAGAGTATCTGTTCGACGTGATGAATTGTGATTTTAGGTCTGTATATGCCAGCTATTTGCTTGATTGCCGGAGCTCTATTTATCAAGGCCTGCGCGAAGTGGTGCCAGCTCCAAGAAAATCAAACCCAGAAAGAGTTCCCGGAACCTAAAAATAAGACGCTTAAAGAAAAAGAGAAAGTCAATGGCACAAAACCTGACGACATGTCAAAATTTTGGGCGGAGATGGATGAAAAATATAAAGTGGCGCTCAAAACCTACAAACCCTTAGATCCCGATTCCATTAATTTTATTCCCATCCTCTTTGTCTTCCTAATGACTCACGTCATAGGAGTTTTAATAATGAATAGTCCTCAACTAATCACTTTTCTCGGCGGGCAATATAATTATTCAACCGAAATTTCTCTCTTTTACGGCTTTACGGCTATATCCCTTGTATTATTAATAATTCCGCTTTTTATTCCTTTTAAGGGATGTGAAAAGAGTATGTCCACGTTAAATATTTTATCGCTGTTAGAATTAGGCACCACTTTAATTTGTATTTCGATGAATAATTTCTCGCTGGCATTATATTGCGGTGCAATATATGTTCCTTTCGCGTTGATTATTGGAATTTCGCGGTGGATGTGGACGGCCGCCATTAAAAAAATTATTTGGTTACTAACTCACCCTCTGTTTGTTTTGGTGGCCACTGTTTTGACGTACACGTACGTGGTGTTTCCGGGTGAAAAATTTGAGGATAATTTTTACAGAGGATTAGCGGCGACGCAGCAAGCCATTGTTTTCAGTGTAGTAGACTCGATGATTTATGGAAATTGGTTGTTTAGTGTTATTACTAGTATCTTCATACCCAACTGGTTGTGTTTCTGGATTGTTGCATTCGCGAAAGTTCAAACAAAGGATAACATTCCAAAGAAAAAATTAGATTAATTTTCATGTATAATAGGTTCCCCTTTTTTAATAAAATTTGCCTTTTATCAGAATGACGTATGAGATTATACGCGCCATTAAACATTTCTAACAGATTTATTAAGTTTCAAATACAAAACTGTGTGTAAAGTAAACTTTATAAAACCTTGACACATTTCACTTGTAGTAGTAAATGAGTGAAGTCGGGTGTTTATAAAGATTAATTTTACCGCCTTTCACGTCATCTGCCGATGCCATTAATGTCTGAATTTTCAGACTTACCTATCTTCATTTTTTGTGTGTGCGTGTGTAGGAGCACGCGTAAACATTGAATACATCTAGAGCATGTCAGTAATTTCATATAGTAACATCTATTACTATTTGTCTCTTTACTTGTAACGAGGTACTTGTTTTTTATACATTTGTAAATATAATTTAAACATAAACTGATTTAAGTAATGTCTTGTGTGATGGTCATCTGGTCGACAATAGCGATTTAAGTGTACACCAAAATATGTATAATAGTGATCAACCAATAAAGCGTACGTAAAAAATGAGTTGTTTTTATTTTAAAATACTGTTAGTAAATTTACAATTCATTGTGTGTGTAAGGAGTGAGTGAAATTGTGTATAATGTTAGTTAAATACGATTCGCGAACCAATTGCACATAAAGATCCTCCTGCCATTTTAAGCTACTTGAGGTTTAAAAATTACAAATGTTAGAAATAAGCTACGGTTTCATATTGAACCTTGAACACTTTCTTTGCTAAAAAATTCTAGAAAATTGGCACACCTTTAGTTTCTAACTTTTTTCTATTTCTACCGAGATAATGAAATATCGAGAAGCGCGCGCGCTTAGTGCCCCACCCTGTATAATTGCATTATTTATAATTTTTTTTCAAATTTCCTTGTACTTAATTCTAAAAACACGAAGTGTATGGAGAAAATATACAGGATATAAGTGGACATTTCAAATGAAACACGTTGCAAAATCCTGAGATGACGTCATCAAGTTTCTGGACTGAATGAAGAGATACATTTTTATTAGCGATTTACCAGGTGCAAGATAACTCTAAAGCGTCTGGAAAATGTCAAATTTTGCCATTTATAAAGTAAACTGTACACTTTTTTTTTTGTATAATTGCATGTTAAAAATAAGCAGACTGGATTATAATCAACCACAAGTGTACAAGTTTACAATGTTTTATACAAGAAACAGGATTTATTTAGCCAAATTTGATATGACCACATTTTTGTTGGGAATAATCAGACAAATTTTGGTTAATGTTTTAGCATTTGCACGATGATCTTCACAATTTCTTCAGTAATTTTGGAGATAACATGGTTAGTAGCCATCAGATAGACAGAAACGAAGAGAAAGCATGAAATTCGCCACGCTTCAGACGTAAAAATATTTAAGAAGCGACGAACGATAATGTAATTTCAACCTTCTGTTTTACAATTTATTACCCAAGTAAAAACAAGCGATACATTTTTTTCTGTTTCATAAGTAGATTGTTATATTCCCCATTTATTAATTTAAAATGTAAGATATTTTGGATGTAAAAATTTTAAAACTCAATAACTCAATTTCGACGGTGTTTGAGCAATTGTGGCTTTTTTACGACGCTGTCGGAAAATTGATTAAATTTTATGATATGTTGGCTCAGATTTTTTAATTAAAATATGAAGAGCCAAAAATTGCCATCGTTGATAAAATGTTTCTGTCACAATTATTACGCAAAATATGTATATAACGTCGGAGGATCAGACCCGAGTTATAAGAAAACTGCCTACTCATATTCATCCAATATCGTTCAGAATTTAACTTGGTAAGACACCTGCGGGAGCCCAATAAATTTTAAACATGTTCTAAAAATGAGAATCACCAGTTGTGCAAATTACCAATGTTCAAAACATTATTTTGTACAAATATTTGGAAAATTGTGTAAATGTTATAAAATTATTATAAAATATATAAGTTGGTATGGAGGTTTTGTTGTAGACATTTTATAAATATTTTGTAATGAAATAAATTGGGGTAATATGAATATGTTTTGGGCCCCCTTTAAGTAATTTGATAAATCTGTATAAATGTCTGAGATTCTTTATCAAGTACTTAAGTATTTTATTGTCATAGTGACAGTGGATAAATTTACGTACCACCCTAAGCTTGTAAACAAATTAAGATTAAATTATTTTATCTAGTTATAACTTATTATTATCGCTATTATTATTTTTGCGATTATTAAAGTCACGCACGTAAAAAATAAAGTTTCCAATTTTATACGATTCGTTTTCCGCTAAAAGAAAAATATGAGTCCAATTATTTTCAAAACTAACTTCTTGTTAAATTTCGCACGCTCGTTTTTCGTAACGCACGCATTTTCTTTTAATATCATTATTTTTTCTTCCAGAAGCAATAAGACAAAATAAATGGAAATCAAACAATCCGAATAATAGATGTTGAGCAAAATAAATCCTCAAATGATTCTAACGCTTGTTTCAGACCTACGCAGAACTCCAAGTTTTTTCTGCGTAACGTCATTATTCACTGTTTTTGTTTATGGTTTGATTTGTTGAGACATGCCGATGCTTTGTAAGATTTATTACCACAAAAAGACACACCTGCGATTGTTATTAACACAGAACAATTGGAACAGGCTATCTGTAATAAAATCTTGGGAATACTGGTTTATTTGAGATCGAGCGCTACAAAAAAGTTTTGCTTACGGTGGACTTCGGTCAAAAATCGAATATGACGGTCTTTATTGCATTACGGATCGAAACAAAGTTTTCACCGCTGCGGTCTTTGTACTGCAACAAAAGTTTCATTTATTCTGTATTATATTTAATACTTATTTAATTTATCAATTTTATTTGGATTTTTTAATTTTTTGCAAGGTAAACGCTATTTAAATTTTATAAAATAACATACTCCTGTACTTGTGGTTTATGAGTCCGCCTTGATTTTTAACCATAAGCATCTAGATTTTCACAGTTCGTGTCAAATACCTCTGGCCAATTTTATACTCTGCATTAGTAAATCATTATTGTGTCATTGGTAAATAATCCAATGCATGTGTTAGATCTGTCATTCATGCGCAAAGAAATGTTGTTCCAGCCAGTGTCATTGATTTCTTTAATTTATGTTGTTTAAATTTTAATTTTGTCATTTCGTGGTTGGATGAGAACAGTATGTTATAGTTATTTATGTATTAAGGGCATAATCAGGGAGATTGTGGCACGAGGGAATGTTTAAAGCCCGACGAAGGAGGGCTTTTAATTTCCCGAGTGCCACAATCGACAATTATGCACGTGGTACATACAACGTTTTATTCTATTTTAGTTTCTAAACTATTTTTAACGAAATATTGAGTATTTTCGGCAAGAATGTGTGAATTGTGCCGATGCGAATTTTAATACATAGCTGGCTATTATTTTGATGTTGTTATGGATACCACGTTGATTATTTGATAATTCGTTTTTCAAAATGTAAATTAAAGAAGTGGAAAACCTTTATTCAAACGAAAGTTTAGAAGAATTTGAAGTCGGTCAGGTAATGATTTGATAAAATATTATTTTTCTAACTTAAGAAAAACGTTGAATATCGAAGCGTGTTTGAATAATTAATTGATTAGTGTAAATGAACAATCAATTGTTGCTTAGCAATTTTTGACAGATTTGTGCTAAAAAGGCCAATTTAAGCCCGCATTTGGGTGCTTATAAATAAGATTATGGTTCTAAAATAGAATAAACGATTTAATTCTACTCACGGCAGTTAATATTAATGTAGAGCCATTACCTCTTTAGATTTTAACCTTTAAAAGTGGAAAGTTTTAAGCGGAAGCGAGGTCTACGTAGGTAAAGAAAAAATTAATCATTTAGCCGACGTTGTCAATAATTTGCAGATCATTAGGTACCTTTTTTAAACCCCGATATAAATTCTCGGCATATTTTGTTAAATTAGTAAAGGAGTTGGGAGCTTATAAAGATGGATTTTACAGCTCATTAAATCGGCTAAATAGTTAATTTTGAAAGGCTTTTTTCCATTTTTCAAGACTTGAAGACGCTTCATTACACATCGAAGTTAACACCTTAAGTGTAATTAATAGCACTTAAAGCAGTCGTGTTTTTCATCTTAGCACAGTTAAAGAGCGTCTAATTAGAATATAGTATTTTAGCAGGAGAGGCTACTTTAAGGACGGGTAAAAACTAAATTGAAAATAATTACAGCAGCCACTCGTAAAATTAAATAAAATACCGGCCAGGTTTCACTTCCGAAAGCGGGAAGCAATTTTTTTGCGGCTTCGTTGTGAGTATCGATCTTTTTTATTCTAGATGAAATTAGAAGAATCCAAAAAAATGCAAATTGCCATATTGCGGTTCATAAAGAAAGCGTTATTAAGCGATATATTTTGGGTGGAAACACGACTGTTCATGTTGATCATTAATCATAAGTACAATGTAAATAGAGAAGAGTGAACAAAAGGAGCGTAAATTATGTTTGGTTTTCGGGAGAGGACGAGAAAATTAAAACTATTTTTCTTCGACATCGAGGAGGTTAGTTATAAAGGTGAAATAGTCTGGTGCGCGGTGAGTTATGAGAAATGCTCGGCGGTTTTTGCGATTGCCCCATATATCGATTCTCACCTAGTGCCAGGCATTGTTCCTGCAGGAATACGAGCAATACGATAATCACTTCGATGGGAATTTCCATCAAAGTATAATAATAATAATAATAATAATAATAATCACCAGACAATTATTTGTAAATAATACAACCGTCTGCTGAAGGTCTTGTTGACGACGGCAAACAGTCTGTTTGTATGTGAAAGCAGGTGGAAACAAACATCGCTGACAATAGCGGAACTCCATATTGAAGACAATAGCCTCTCAACACTGAATTCCTAGACGTCAAGTATGCTGTAAGACATGCATAAACGACCGGTCAAATACGAATGCATTTGCAACCCGGATGACTGCAATCTGCATTCTGTTAGTTGAAATTAGGAAAGCAGTTTTTGCGAATGGGAGGAATGTGAAACGCTTTGTGTCAAGAATGTGAGCGGCCATTCCCATACAAAGTGTCCCCTTGCACACAATAAGACTGATATTATTTTATGCTGAATTATTCTTATTAAATTCTAGAAGGGGATGAAGCATGTTGCTCCGTTTTACTGCATTTATAAAAAAAACACTGCAGAGAGCTTAAGGACAAAGTTATGCAAATTTACATTCACTAGTTGCATCTATGCAGATATAGTGCAAAGGTACAATAAATGCTTGCATGTCGTCATCAAGATATTATTATATCCTCTTGCATGTACCACGTCTACATGTATGACATTATTATTTGTTATTATTACATTTATTGTAACTGTAGACTTAAAATACTTAATGACAACAGGAAAAAACGTTTTAGGAACAGAACACACTCGTTTGGAAACATAACACAAACTGGAGTATATTTATGTGGCAGCGTAGTAGTTAGTAAGTCATTGTGGCGTTACTCCCACCACATCAATTTTTTTAAACG